TTCCTGTACCTTCACTCCTATGGGAGTTTGTATCTTTGAACAATTTTGTTCATTTTCATTTATCAATGAAAAGTTCGTATCTTGTTCAAAAAAAAAACTCTTTTGACAGGTGACTATGTGTGATCACATGCATGCAAGTATAATACCATCTTAAAAGCTAATGACCACAAAATTGTTCATCTCACAAGTAAYTTTAATAATTTGCATCTTAAAATCAGTAAACTATCGTTAACAAATATGAAACTAAAAGGAGCATGCAAAGCSCAACTGAGGGGCAACAAAAGATGACCCCGAAAACTATACTGATGCCACATGTGATATGAACTACAACACAGAATTAAATATTAATTTTTAAAACAAACTTCTAAGCAATATTCCATAGTTCTAGAGAGGATCAAAATTAAAAGGAATTGTTTGTAAAGTCAATCCAATCACCAAGCCGATCAATACACTAAAACTTTCCAGAATTAAAGAAGACGATGGCTTTCTTGTACAGATCACATAGATAATAATAAGAGTAAAATTTGAAACCAATTAGTCAAAACTGCAAGCTAGAAAACTAATCAGATTATAAATTATATACACATTTTTATTCTGGTGGTGCAAGTCATGTATGGACTACTGTCCAACCATGCCTGCATAATTGACTCCATTAGTTCTACTCCCAAGTGACTTCATTAGTCTTTTAGGCAATTTTTAATACATGCTTTAGGAGTTTTTCCTCTCATTTCCAGCAAGCAATATAATACGAGATCAGAAAGTATTTGATCCGACATGTTACAAAACAATAAATACCCATCAACAATGCATTTTACCCTCTAAATACCAAAAATAAATATAACATGAGATTTCAAATAAGTTAAAGTGACGAGGATGATAACTGCAAAGAAAATAAATAAATAAATAAATAAGGCAACGGTACTGCAAAAGTTAAGCAAWATATTTTTCCTAGTCAACCTGGACACGAATGTGCCAAACGTCTCCAGTTCTATTGACGTGAGGATCCAATTTGAACTCCAACATTCTATCATCAATCCTGAAAGGGCCAAGAAACGTTACCATCAAAAGCTTGAAGTTGGAAGAATGAACAGGAAAAAGATATAAAAATTGCTGATATTACTAAACTAACAATCTAATGAATATTCAAGAAGACAACCTCAACCAAGAAAGAGAGAGAGAAAAACACGTGAGATTCATGCAAAGTTATGTTGAAGATAAAGGTAGAGGCCCCTTCAATTGGTATAACTTTAGTATCCCAAGTATCACATCCTTTCAACTCCAAGCCAGCAAGACCAGTGGAAGTTGTCCATAGATGTAAAACGTCCATTACATATTGCAAGTTAATATCTTAATAAGTGCATTTGCACCAAAAATTTAAATTAATAAGTTAAGAATTGGCATTTTGTCCCATTACATATTGCAAATTAGAAACGCACCTCTCATGAAGTGATAAACAAAGTGTGACAGATGTAGCATGCTTTGAGAAAATGGAAAAATTGATCCCATTATCGACTTCTGATACACCCAAGGGAAATGCTTCGCCTGGGAACATTTTCAACATTGGGCCAGTGTCCAAAATTTCAGGGGCTTCTTGCTGATGTTGCAAAAAGAAACCACAGGTCGTGTTAAATGGATTGCTACAACGTTGTCAGGCAATTTTTTTTTAATAAGAAATAATTTTATTGATGATATGAAATTATAATTGGGGAAAACTTCTCCCAATTGGATATGAGAGAAGAAATATTATAGAAATTAAATAGGGGGACATTTACACCAAGAAATAACCAAAAATACTATAGCATCAAAAAAACCGGTAGAAGTAGCGTTTCTGCATCATTGAATATTCTTTGATTTCATTCTTGCTAAATGACCCATAAGAAAACTCAAACAAAATAAGAGATATTTCGTTCTTGGTTCGTTCTTKCAATATAATAGATATTTGGCCTTAAGTAAAACCAAGAACAGATAATGACTTCGAACAAGATGAAGGGATGTTGCATTGTTACATATAATGAACGAAAAGTTACAAAGATCCCAATTTCTCTTATCAATGTTGGAATAAATTGCATTTTAAAGTCACAGTGGAATCTTATTTGGCACATTAAACTAGTCGATGGCCAAATGGCAAAAGCTTCATGATCTGAAAATAAAGTGATCAGTTAATCAATACTGATGGAGAATAACTTGACTAGAATGATGGTCCGCAACATCTAAAAGGTCGATATCCTACATTCATTTCCAACTTATCAGGGATGTGGCAATCAGATTGTCGAAGAACAATTTGTTAAAGAGAGACATCAGTTCCTCTATCACATCAACAAATAAAATGCCACGTTGGCACCGAATTTATTTCTATTCCCAGATCTCATAATTGATCAACTACCTAACGGTTAAGCTCTTCTCTGTCTGAGATGACCAGATAACACAGCAAATGAGATTTTTAATTTTCAAACAACAATTTGTCCTCCGTATTACTGACAGCGCAAGAGATGTATGGAAGTAAAATTTTTACTAAAAACAAACACGTCTACAATGAACAAGTACGGACCTCTAACACGCGATCTTGATCACGGCGAGCATACGCAGTTACAACGCAATGCTTGGCACCTCCCTCCTTTGTCTAACCTAAGCAGAAAGCTCGGCCAAGTCACTCGCAAACACGAGACATTCAMAAGTTGAAAGCAAGCAGACACAAGAGCGGATTCGTTAACAACCATACCTCACCAGAAATCTCCCGGCAGCTGCTTCCTAGCGCTCGCTTCCCTGCCTTCAATCTGTCCAACAAATTAAGCAAAKAAAATGAAAAAACTAAATCGATAGAACGACATTAGATTGATGAAGAGTACCGCAAGTGAAGGAAATGAGAGCCTCCGGTGCAGGACGCAAAGAGAGGAAGGTGAAGAGCAGAGGAATGGCAGAGAGATGGAGATCGAAGCATCATCAAAACTCGAATTCAGATTCCAAATGGAGCTGATACTGAAAGAATTTTGGCGCCAAAGCGTAGGAAGTAGTGATGAAGATGAAGTTCATGAAATTTGTTTTCACTTACGGATTTGGAAAATCGAGCGCGGCAACGAAAGCGGATGCTTTTTCATGTCTGCCACGTGAACGGATTACAGGGGATTTCCAAATTCGTTTCTCTCTTCACTCTCTATACGTTGTTATAGCCTTACAGCTTTGGCATGTCCTCTTTCTTAAATAAATATCAAATTTTTTGTGGGTCCCACCATCTCTCTTCCTGATAATTCACATCAATTTGATAATTTTGCTTCTTTCGTGATGTTTACCCTTTTTTTTGGTAGGTGTCGGTGTACATGCTGGTTTACGCGTAGCTCTACTCATCACGGGACAACCATCTTGATTCTAGAACTACCCTGATTCTACAATCGGAAATAAATAGGAATTATTAATTTTAATGTTTACAATTTTATTTTTTGTTTTCAATTTTATAAAAAAAAAATTAAGTATTTTTTTACAGCTATTTATGTTTTTTATTTTAGATTCTCCTACACAAGTTTTACAACTTAAGCATTTTATATCATAAATTCAATTTTTTTTAGAAAAACATAAGCTTTTCTATTTTCAATTTATTTTAAAATATAAATCAAAATATTATTTTATAATTTTATGAGGTTGACAGCCCTATAATTTATTAGGTAACATAAATCAAAAGCAAGTGTAGATCTAATTTTGGTACTTAAAATGATTATTTTTTAAAAGTAAAAGATCCAAACAAATATTTTTAAATTATAACTTCTGTTTTTTAAATTTGTTTGACTACAGTGGGAGTCAAACCCACGACCTTTTGATCCAAAGTCAAACGCGTTAATCCACTGCACTATGCAGTCGGATGATTCTTAACATCTAGAACCAAAATTTATACGTAATGAAAACTATTTACTACACATTTAGGAATATATTTTAAGACATTTTCGTGAGTTTAATATCATACTACTCTTTAAAAATATCAGATATGAGATCAAAATAGACGTTTTGAAAATTTTTTAACTAAAATAAACAAACGTAACGTTTTTTTGAACGGACCTGAAATAGTATTATAGTTAAACCTTTTTGAAAATATATACATGTAAACTGAATTCAATGTAATCAGGTTAATCTCGTTTATAAAATTTTCCAGAAATCGAAAAATTAACTCAGGCTAGTAACGCAAGTAAAATGTAAAAAATTTACAATAAAATATAATTAAATTTATACTGAATAAGGTCAATGTCAATAAACGACAAACTTTGGACCAATCAACATGAAACTTGCTGGGTACATCAACTTAATCATTTATAAAATTGTTAATATAAAAAATTATTTATGGACTTAGTGATTTGTACAACACGTCGACAAAATAAATACGAAAAATGTAGTCAATTCATAAAAAGATTTTTCAGTTCTCTTTTCTTAAAAAACCATAACAAATATTCAAAATGACAAATAACTGGTGATAAACAAAATATAAATAAATAAACATTTCACTATTTTTAAATACGTTAAAATTTATTAATATTAACATTATTTTGATATTAATAATATTTTATTAATATCTTTTTATATTTTATCAATTTTTTTGCAATACTATAAAAATATAGATTCACTTTCTCATGTCAATATCAAATCCATAGATATGTAAAAATGTTGATCCGTAGATGAAAATTTAATACTCAAATCATGAACTCATAACATTCGCACTAATCACAAGTTTGGTCCAAAATATACTAAGAAATATCTCTTCCATTATGCATAGCAATTGATAATAAGTTGAAGCATTCTTATATGTTATAGCTTGGAATTATAATCACCTGTTTACAAAATAATAATAATAATAATGAACTCTTCAAAACTGCTGCCATCATGGAAAATCTCGTGAATGAAAAAGTAGGCTTAACAAGCAAGAAAATAGCTCTTTGGTCAGTTAAAAATCTCATTGGTAAAAAAATAGACCATTTTGGCAGACAGCATCTATAAGCTATCATGAGATACAATTGGTAAAAGAAGAAGAATGAAGTGAACTCTCTTGAAATCATGGATACTAACAAGCCAGGGTAATGGTAAACTACAAACGCTAAATGCACGCCTGGGCAAGATGCTCGAGATGGGTACGTTAAGCCAACAAAGTTAACAGTAATCGTTACGTTGGACCCGATCTCAAACTTTCATTCGGTCTAGTCGCCCCAAAGATGAAACTTACGAAAAAATCATAATATAAATGGATGGTGAATGCGATCTCGCTTGTTAGGCTCGGCTTCACTTGCATTACCTTGTGTGTCATTCTAAGCAAATAAGAATGGCTGCAAAGCCTACTTAGTTGTAGCTTGCTGCTGAGGCTGCTGCTGCTTCTGCTACTAAGGCGATTGGTTGACGGGCCTGCAGGCAAGCGCCTATGTCGAATGGATGTAACTCGGAACCATCAAAAATCATATTCACACCAGGGAGTACTACTTCCTTGCTGTCAGCTTCATCTGATTCGCCTTTTGAATTCGACATATTAGCAGGAAGTGCTTCTTCAATCGGCCTGGTGGCGGCTTCATACACAGGAGAAAGAGCATAGGATCTGAAAATATCATTCATACTATTACTTCAATAGATAGTAAAATTATATCTTTACAGCCGCCTAAAATCATGACGACCATCCCTCGTCAGCATTTATCTAAAACTCCTTGTTAAGAACACTTTGGAGAGCGTGTGAGAGAACAAAAATTTACAGAATATGCATTGTCATTGAATCAGAAATGCAAAAACTATTGAGACCAAGTTTTACGCAACTAGTGCCAGAAGGTCAAGGATGTTACCGAACTGATTTCAAGGGAATAAGTTAAAACAGAGTTTTTGTAAAACATTCCTATTCGTCCCCAAATTTTCTTGTTCAGAAAGACCAGCAAAGACTCTTTCTAGTAATGAAAACCTGGTGGTGGGATTTCTTAGAAATTGTTTTTAGGTGAAGAAACATGACAGCATATGCATCCAAGGGATGCCATGACTTGAAACACATTCTTCTAATGCATCGAAGTTTCCATCGCTTTTCTGCACCAGAAGTGCACTTAAAACTTCACCCATCTTCTTATCAAAAAAAACTTCACCCATCACATTGAAAAAATAAAAATGAAAATTTACACAAGACTAGTAACCACAATATGCACTTCATTCTACCAATTGTGTAACTAAATAATGGGAAACGTAGACATACCTAAGAATGGAACCATCAAAACTCAAAACTTCAGTACGACAGCGATGCCGATTAGCAAGCTTTATTCTCTGATGTTCGCTTGCAGTTCCTGAAATAGGAGAAGAAGGATCCATTAGTGGATTCCACCTTCCACTGGCATAGTTCATGAGTTGTTTGGTAGATTCTTTAGGTTGTTCCTTCTGATATAAAAGTCTGGCAGCTGGACCTGTTGCTTGGTATTCCGCACAAACATCACGTAATCTTTTTCTCAATCCCTGCATTGCGTCATGATGCTTATACAGTAAATCTGACTGGAGTAATTCGGATGAGACCACTCTTGTACAAATATTATCACATAATTTGGGACTAAAAAGTGGTATCCCGAATCCTACACTCAATGGTACCCATTCATAGTTCTTCTCATCCGATGAAAAGTTTTCCAACTCCCTTTCTTTGAAGAGTTTCAACACCCGTATATAACCAACTGTCCACAGTTCTAACTTGTTTCCTAAAACAACTAACAAGGAGTTCAAGTCCGAAATCTCCTCCTCAGATAGACCCATATCATTACCTACTTGAACAATTGAACCATCAGAATTCTTTAAGGGTAAAGGAACATCAACGGTAATGGCTCGCCCACTTTTATCGAGATCATATTTACTAAGGGGCTGCACCAAGACAGCTGAGTATTTGAGAAGTGCGTTTAAGCAATGTAAAAGTACACTCCCTTTTACAAAATTTCCTTCAAATTTTCCTCCCAGGCCACCAACATTTGAACCATCCCAAGACCATATTAGGGCTTTCTCACAGCCGGCCAATGGTGCAGGAAGCATACGCAAACATTGCCCTTTCATTAGTATAACTGACAGTGGCCCACTGGCTACAGTTGAATATAAAACCAATTTCATCCAAGGTGTCATAGATGAATAAGATGGAGGACCAAAATGGATAGGGCCTGTTGGTCCAGGAAGAACTGATGAAGGAGGAAGAGGAATCATAGAAACAACAACATCATAGTCGCGAAGAAACAACCGATTTAATGTTGAAGGTGAAAGAGAAGCCAAGCTTTCACAGCGAAGAATATCAACTTGATATTTCTTTCTTCTCTTGAGTGATTCTCCTCCATTCTCTAGCTCATCAATCTGCATCGATTTGTTATCAACTTGGAGATCAGGAACTGGGTCAGTTACCTGACTAAAGGAAGTTCCACCATCTAAAGAGGCTGCAGAATTCGTTTCATCACCAGCACTGTTTTTAAGAGATTCAGATGAGGCAGAATCCTCAAGGAGCACTGCTGAACAGCTAGAATCATCAGCACATTTCTGATCTTCGTCCATAGTCAAGTATTCTAACTTTTCAATTGAAGCATTGTTTTTGGATTCATTGTTGTCAGAAGCTTCTGCATCTAATTTATCACAGTTTCCCTCCTCTCCTTTGGCACTGGTGGCAACTCCACCTACCAATAAACATTCTAATATACAACGTAGGCTAAATGCATGATTTGCAAATTCCTGCAGTTCACCCTCAAATTTTGCTCCTTCTAAGGTACTTAGATCTTTGCAAAGATCTGCAATGCAAGCATGGCCTAGTTTGCCAGCTTCATACAAGGTTACAGCATGGGATTTCAGTCCTGATAAAACAATTAAAGAAACAATAAGAGTTCCAAATGCATAAGCTTACATTTGCTTATAAATGCATACAAAGCAAAATAGATTTCAAAGGTGGCTGCAAACATTTGTTCTAATTGGGAGGCTTTTATAACTCCCCCAGTCCCCCTTAGCTTTTGTCTGTGTTATGTTTAGTTTGATGTTTTGTTTTCCGTTTTGTTTACATTTTCACTCCTTCGGGAGTTTGTATCTTTGAACAATTTTCTATTCTTTTACATTAAATCGATGAAAAGTTCGTTTCTTTTTTTTWAAAAAAAAAAGAAGAAGAAAAGAAGTGCAAAGATATCATGTAGGAACGATATTTTATCTATTTTATATATATCATGTGGATGGCTCATTGGTCCAAAGGAACTCAGGTTAATTAATAGGGAATGGGTTCAAATCCCATGATGGTCACCTACCTTAGGAATTAGTAATTCTCATGTGTTTCCCAACACCAAATATTGTAGGGTCAGGCAGTTGTCCCGTGAGATTAGTCGAGGTGCGCGTAAGCTGGCCCGAACACTCACGGATATCAAAATATATATATATATCATGCAATGACAGCACTACTTAAGGCATCCAGGTAAAAATGGATCAGTCGTAGAAGAAAGTGGGAGGGAAGGGAAGTTGTACATCTTGTTTAATTAACTTTCTACAAAATGCCATGTATCTACCACACCACCTAACTTACTCTACTGCGCCAAGTTCTTCACAAATATTCAATTAGTTCATGAAGCTGGTAAAGCAAAATATACAGTGGTTTATGAGATGTATCCGGTAATTCTAAGGCTCAGTGCTGGAGTTTCAAAAAAAGAAGGTAATTCCTCCCTCCCTCAAGACAGCCCACCTTGACGGAGGGAGGAATAGGAACAAACTAAGAGCTGAAACATTCATAAATGAAGAGAACTGAATCGGCAATAGCAACATAACCACAAGAAAGTTCAAGTTTTGTAAGTTACAGAGCCACCTATTAGTAGCATTTGAAAGTACATTAAACTACCGTCGTTTCCATTTTATGTTTGAATCACCGAGCATTACTTTCTTTCAGAGCATTGTCAACACAAACTGAAGTCATTAAGTCATCCATAAATGTAGCTCATCCAATTATTATACTTAATAAGTAAAAACAAAGGTTTTATATTCCTTGGGCATTTGATACTAAAGTCTCAGCTAAAGGCAAAGGAGGGTTAATCTGTAAAATTTAAAAAAAAAAAAAAGCTTCAGTTGTCCTAGCCAGCTTTTCAATTCTCTTTATAGGATTTTGTTCTACTTTTCTTGGTTATTGTTTCTTTTATTCAGTTTCATTAGTTTGATCCTTAAGATGAAGAGGAAAAAGAAACTGGATATTATAGAAATTTTTTAAAAAAATAATAAAATACTAAAAAGCTAAAAGACAAACCTGGTGAAGCTAAAAGACAGACCTGGTGAAACAGACCCCATCATGAGATATGATGTTATATTAGCATCTACAACAAAAGCAACACGATTATCAGAATCTGGTCCCAAACTATCTGTCCACCCTTGTTGGGAAGCATCGCCATCAGAAAGCATGTTTGATGAACCTGAAGCAGCTAGAGAAGCATCTTCATCAGCAAAAATAGCCCTAGGAGAGTTAGGTATGCTTGTATCTTGAAGAACAGATGCTGGATCAATTACTTTTACTGCCCATCCCAATCTACAAGCAAAAGATGCAGCAGCTTGGAGCTGATTTAGGTCAGCCTGTAATGTTGCTGCCAGTTCAGCGACAGTTGCATTTTCACTTGAAACAACAAAAACTGCATACAATAACCTGAACAACAGACTTTTCTTCATAAGGCCCAGTCAGACAAATAATACTAAAAAGAAAAGAAACAAGCTGCGGTAGATAATTGCCCTACTCCTCAATCGGGTCTTCATATGACTGTTCTCGGTTGGAAACAAACCCTTCAAGCCTAGAAACTGGATCAATAAAAGTATTAATATCTCCAATTCATCCCTTCTTACAAAGGAGTGGTTCCAATAAGGCCAATGTGCCTATTTAACCTTATTATTAAATATATATTTTTTCTAGTATACAGTAACTATTTAGATTAACAAAAAGTTTACATGCCAAGTTTAAGACCATGAAACTGTTATTATATCGTCAAACCAAGACACTGGACATATATATAAGTTGATAGTGCTGAAAGAAACATTTCATCGTTTTGTGAATAAGCTCAAACGAACAGCATTAGTAGCCAAGTAATGGTATGACATTAACATATTAGTTATCCTGGTTGTATGAGATACACCAGAAAACAGCAGATTTGGCTTCTAAAACCAATATGATCAGTTGATCACATTTAATTTAACATATAAAATTTAGAATTGATTGTCATGTGCTAATAGGAGAGACACAGCCCATATTTAAAAAATATATATACATGTATGTCTTACAGAAATATTTAGGGCTTTCAGGTGTCAGTCCAGAAATATGTCGTCTTACAGGAATAACATCAAATTAAAGAAACTCATCTTTTATCTAACTAGAAAAATAAACATATATTTGAAAATTTATTGCTTACCCTTAAAACGGTCATCTGGATAAACAGGAACATCAAAGTAGATCAATCCTCTTTTGAAGAGACCTTTTACAATATCTGGGTCGAATAGAATAAATGAATTAGCCTCCTCCTTACAAACTTTGTCTATTGTTGCCATTTCTTCTTCTGAGAGTTTCTACATATTTACAAAATTAGCAAAATTGAATCAAACCACAGAAAATAGAAACAGAATAACATTTATGCACTGCCATACTTTAGAAAACAATTATTTGTTTGTTGCATGCTACAGTAAAATATTGAACATGGAACTAGTATTTATTTGAAATTCACCTTAAATTCTTCCAATGTGAAGTTTACAAGACAAACTCCCCACCATGGTTCGATGACGAAATCGATAGGTTGAGAAGGTAAAAGCTCTCTTGCAATGGACTTGTTTAGCTTCCACATAATTTTCTGGATTTCTCAAAGGAAGAAAAAGATATTAACACATGAAAAAGCTCATCAATGTAGAAGAATAATTAGTAAAAATAAAAAAGGCTCCACATGTGATGAACTGAACCCAATATTTGCAGGGATAAGAATAACAAACCCAAGCGTAAATGCACATAATAAATTAAATGAAAAATTATTGCCTTCTGCCACAGAGGTGCATCTGTTGTGAAACTGGATGCGAAGACAATAAACATCTTTTACACATATTTTGCCCCTTCCATATAAACAATCTTTTATTTAAATAATAAATCAAGCTTTCATAGAGAAAAGATAAAGAGAAAAAATACAAAAGGGGCAAAGCATCTTGCATACATAAAGTTAGCCTGCAAACGGAGTCCAAATGCTAACTATACAAGAAGGGACTCCAATTCAAAGAAATAAGACCTAGAGAGTTTGAACAAAACTTCTTAGGAACCAATACAAACCAAAGGTGTTAAAGCTAGCAATAAACCACACAATCTAGAGAGACCTCTCCTAGTTTTTAAAAATTATGTTGTTCATTTCCAATCAAAGACCCCAAATCTCCACGAAAAAATCTACCTGCCAAAGAATTTGGCCATTATCACAAAGGGGATTACACATAACCTACTCCATCATATCTGAGCAACCACTGGGTCTGGCCAAACCAGGCTAGAACAATTGAAAGAATCCATCACAAATAGTTCGAACATATTGACAGCTCCATAAAATGTGGTTCAGGTCTTGAGCATCATTTTTGCACAAAACACACCAATACAGCCCCACCACCACTTAATAATGCCTTAAGATGAAGTACAAGGTGTTCACTCTGCCCAATAAGACCGGCCAAACAAAGAATCTAACCTTCTTAAGAATTTTCACCTTCCAGAACAAGGATAGAGTGGGCTCTCACATGTAGATGGATTGCATAACAGCTGATAAAACTACTCACAAGAGAAACCCTCTACAGGATCGTAAATCCAGAAACAAACATCTCTACCATCTGTTTGCTGGTCCTCGGGAATGGTTCGGTTAAACTGTATTGTGGTATTCAGCATATGTTTGCAAAAGATGTGCTAGAAGTAGATGTCAAAACATATGAAGAACATGATGAAGCATTCATTATAATATGGCAATCCTTTGGAGCATCTTGAAAGAAATGAATGGTGGGATATTTGAAGATGGCTAGATGGAAAAACGCATATTGTATAGACTATATTATTATCTGCTGCTTCTCTTTGGATGTCTTCAACTGAAAATTTTCAAGAGCTTCCCTTTCTTATTTTACAATCAAGATATCATAGTTGATCATAAAGTAGACTCATGTAACTTGTCAAGACTTATTCTCCTATTGTCTTGTCTCCTTCTTGCTCAATGTTTCATATAAAAACAAATATAATGCACTTACAAATTTGATCATAGCATAGTTACTCACAATTATGATCAAATTTCTTTGTTATTTTTCTATTCAATGGTCAAAACAATTATAATGCACTTACAAATTTGATCATTGTATTCTCCTTAGTCCTTCTTGTTCAATGTTTCATATAAAAACAATTATAATTCACTTACAAATAGAACATGTACCTGAAACAAGTATAATGCACTTACAAATTTGATCATAGTTAGATCTACAATAAATACATGAACATATAAACACATATCTGGTACCTTGGATCTACACTTATTCATGATATCAATAAACTCATTCCTGCCAATTCCTGTCAACCGCAACGCATCAGCCGCACTGAAATTTGGGATGCTATCATAAGGATTCTCTGCAAGTAAATAAAAGCACAAGCAAATTATCAAGTCACAGTATTTATCTGAAGCCATCAAAAGGATATAGGATGCTGAAGAAGGGATGAAGCAGAGAATAGTATGTGTTCCCTCAAAACACTACAATACCCCTAATTTGATCTAAACATTAATTTTACATAAATTACACTTCCTCATCTTTCAAGAAAAAGCAAGTCACTAGGTTGTGGAAGTATAAAGTTAAGACCACCATTTAAATGTATTGTTGAAAAAGATACTAATTAGAGAGAGATTAATCCATTATGCTAGTGAAACTCCAGGAACTCAAAATTTAGCCTACATCAGATTCATTGCAGAAGAATAGTTGCAATTCCAAAATCTTTTCAAGAAAGTGTTATTTTAAAAAGCTAACTGTTCCTACATGCGGTAGGAACAAGACCTGTCTTTGTGTGTGTGTGTGTGTGTGAGAGAGTAGCTGCAAAAAGTTCCACAAACCTATTCCAAAATCTTTTCTCAATTTGATAACTAGGTCTCGCTAAGTTGTAAGTTCAAAGATATGACAACCTTACAACCCTACAAAATTCAGTAATTTAAAAACTCAAAAGATATTTGGTGCCTTTTTGGGTTCTCCATGACCACTTGGTTTAATCTATGTGGGTTCTCCATGACTACTGTTGTGAGAAAAATGTCTTGCGAGGTTTTTCGTTTGGGGGGGACGAGATTGAGCTTAACCACCTTCAATATGCAGATGATGTTCTGATTTTTTGCCCTCCCTTTGATGACATCCTTGGTAATTGGTGGGGAGTTCTCAATATCTTTCTGATAGCTTCTGGTTTGTCCTTAAATATTGGAAAGACTTCTTTGATTGGGATAAATTGTGAGGAGGATGTTGTCACTCATTGGAGCAGTCTGCTGGGTTGTAAGATGGAGAATCTGCCATGCTCCTATCTAGGCTTTCCCTTGGGAGGCAATCAAAGAGCAAAGTCCTTGTGGGAGCCGGTTATTGATAAAATGAAAGCAAGACTTGATAAGTGGAGGAATCTTCTTCTATCCAAAGGGGGAAAACTCACTCTTTGACGTAGCACCTCACAAGGTTTTTCAAGAAATGATTCAATGCCCTTTCATTAAAAGGCTGAAACCTATTTATAGAGGTTTCAAGCTTAAGAATTACATGAGTAACTATTGTTATTGTGCAGTAAAAGTAAAGCTACTAAAATAAAAGCTATAACAGTAGCTAATAATCGAGAAAAGCTATGAAGAGCTACTTAACTACATCAATTTCCCCTACCCCAAAATGAAACTCGTCCTCGAGTTGAAAAGTAGTGGAGTTAGAAGGTGGTGAACAATCCGCAAACTAGAAACTCGCCTCTTCTTGTGGTTCAAAAATACTTCAATCGAAAATGTCTTTTTTAACTCATCAAAAAACGATAAAGTGACCAAATTGAATTAAATCCCAAGAAATTTTGATGCAATAATCTGTTGAGACAAAAGTGTTCCAAATTATCAACATTCTTTTCCTCGGGATCCTTCGGAAAACTACCCACTTTCTTCTTCTTGTATTTACATTCTTGA